ATAGATAGATAGATAGATAGATAGATAGATGATAGATAGATGATAGATAGATAGATAGATAGATAGATAGATAGATAGATAGATAGATAGATGATAGATTTAGTTATATCCTCAGTACATTTTTACCATACATATTTGTCAGAATTCTCAAAATAGACTTGTCACCTACCTCTGACACTATCTCAATTATAAGACTTACTTTCCATATACTCATCTATGATAAAACTTAGCTATCTCTGACTCCATGAAACCTTGGTGATTCTATGTCTAAAATATTTTTCAAAGACTCAGCTTACAAAAGAAAACCCTCTACTTATTACTTGGATCGGAAACTTGTCACCTGTCCTGTGTAGTTGGTAAACAACCACATTTGATTGGGAGTCTCTCAACTTACCTCTGTCAGTTCAGTTTGACATGATGTTGCCTATTAAGGGAAGCTGTTCTCTCTTGAGCAAGAGGAGTTCAGGTTGGATCAATAAGAAACTGACTTGAATGTTGACATGTAGGAGTATGCATTAACATCGTTTACTTAATGAGAATGCCTGAAGAGTCCACCAAAATTTTCTGGTACCCCAGTTCTTCACTTTCTTTAATTCATGCTCTTCTGTATTACCAGATTCTGAATATATTACCCATGCTTCCAATAAATTGTGTGTGTGTGTGTGTGTGTGTGTGTGTGTGTATACACTGTCTTTCATTTGTAATTCTCATGTGTAATGCCAGAATTTAATTGATTCCCTCACCTCTGTCATCATACAGGCATGTTCTAGAATTCCTAGATTCTAGAATTATAAGAAGTAGAATCATTTCTATACCCAACCAAACACTTCTATTCTTCAACCATTTGTCAATTCTGTTTCCTAGTTCCATAATACCCTTGCTTCATTCATGGAAAATTCCAGTTCATCACCAAGCCCTAACTCGAACATTGAGGTATTTGTGTTTAAAAACTCTTCCTGGGTCTTAACACAGGGAAATATGCAACATTGTCCTTATGCACTGGATTCATCTTTTTAACCACACGGTATAATAGCCAATGATTCACATGTACAACTCTTCCAGGAAATGCTGAAGTCTTCAAGGACATGTTGGCAAAGTTCAACAAATTCAAGTGTTTGCCAAATTGAATGACTGACTCACATCTAGACAGAAAAGGATTCTCTTCAAAAGATACATTTTACTTTTGCTTTCTACATTTCAAATTTCCGATCCTGCATTTTTTTTAAAATTGTATCCCCATTAACATTTTATAGAGTTAAGACTTAATAAGTGTTGAGAAGTAGAAAGCAAAAATAGTTGCCCCACTTCTTCCATGGTTCTCTGCCTCCCTGTTTTCCACTGACACATCACATTTTGATGCCATTTTTTTTCTTCCTTCCAAGCTCCCATGGCCTCTATGTTTGCAGTAATATGCAATGACCCATTATGCAATGAGCTACCTTGTATAACAGATAGGATTTCCTTCTTCTCCTGAGACCATCTGGAGGAATAAAAAAACATCTGATCCTTAATAAGACTGCTGATATGAATGAAGGACAAGGATTCAATCCCTCAGGAAATTCTGAAGATGGATGTAGTTTGCCTACTTCTGGTAAATCACTAGTGAATTGATTAATGGGGAGAAAGAAAGAGAGAAAGAAAGAAAGAAAGAAAGAAAGAAAGAAAGAAAGAAAGAAAGAAAGAAAGAAAGAAAGAAAGAAAGAAAGAGGGAGGGAGGGAGGGAGGGAGGGAGGGAGGGAGGGAGGGAGGGAGGGAGAGAGAGAAAGAGAGAAAGAGATGGATGGATGACCACACTTCCTATTTACCTTCCTGAAACGGTTGATCCAAACGCCCATCTTGCAATTATTCAAATAAATTAACTTGAATCAAAGAAATAAAATGTTAATCAAAACTAAAGAATATAGAAAGAACTGACTTTCTCGTTGTATGGTTTAATGATGCCTGCCCTCTTCCACCTGCTGCCTTTCTTCATCATCCAGACAGTGAGGATTTCTTTGATATTATCTGTACCTATTCTTGATGTGAAAATGAAAACGATCTTTTTCATTTGATATCTTGGCCACCTTTGTTTAGCTTCCCTTTTGCCTGTAGAGTCAATTCCAAATTCCTGTCTTAGCATACAAGGACATACCTGATCCTATGTGGTGCCAGGCTACCTTTCCTGCCTTCTCTCTCATTTTAATCCAAGCTCAGTACTGTGAGCTTTTCCAGATTGTCAAAATGATCTTTGGTCTTCACACTTTCAAGTCCATTGCACCCCTTGACAGAAAAGTCTGTCTCCTTTTCCACCAGAATATCCTCTTTTTTCTTATTGACTCGTTTTAAAGACATGACCTCTCCTTCCCCTGAGTCACCACAGAGCTGCAAACACATTATCAGGTTATATGTAATTCATCTTTGGATCCTACTAGACTCTGAACTCCTTGAAAGTGAGGAAAATACGCCAGCCACAGTTTCCAACAGGCAGTAGACATACCAGTAGGTGTTGGATGAATTAATGACTACACCTTTCCAAAAATAAAAACACAAAAGATGGAAAAATAAAACTCCAGTAAGCTTTTGCTTCCTATTCAGAATATTAAGGGGAAGGCAAAAGATAACCAGGCCCCAGGCAGGGCCCCACAGGTACATATTTGCAAACTCAACATTGAATGTTCAAAGTCTAGTGGGGAACAGCCTCCAAGTAGTACGTATCACAAAATAAAAATGGAGATAAATTGTGTATTCAAACCTTTCTTACCTTGAGAAAATTAAGTTCCATCTCTGAAACTCTCAATAATACATGCATAAATGGTCCCACAGAGTCAGAGAGAACTTCATTCTTTACTATGCCAATTGACAAGCATGGTGTGTAGAAATTAGCAGTACAGAAGCCACAGGAAGTTCCTCTATGCACACACAGGGCATAGAAGCAGCTGATCCATAATGCCATTCTGGACACCAGAACAAATGGCTGGGGATAAACATCCTTATCTCCAACTGGTTATGTTTAGGACAAGAAGAAAAATGAGGTCAATGATTTCACTCAAAAAGCTATTCTAAGTTAAGCCTTTCTGACATGAACATAGATAGAAATTGTTGCTTTGTTTTGTTATGTTTTCAGCCCAGGTTCCAACTACTTTAAAGGGATTTTCTCTTTAGATGGTAAAATTGGTTTAAGAGATTGTTCAACCTACGCAGTTTCCCAATTCCTAAAAATGGATCATAAGAATAACTTTTGGGGTGTTTTGGCTTTCTGAGACAGAGTCTATCTGGCTGCCCTGGTACTGACCTTGTTGCACAGGCTAGCCTCCAACTCATGGCGATCTGCCTACTTTCCTTGTTGCACAGGCTAGCCTCCAACTCATGGCGATCCTCCTACTTTCGCTTCCCAGGTATTATGATTCCAAGCGTGAGCCACCATATTCAGCTTTGCAGAGTAACTTGATTCCAGAGGAAATAGCACTTGAGCAACAATGGCAAAATAATAAATGTTGAATTACCCACTTGTTATTGTATTGGCCTTGTATGATGGACTAGGGAAAGTCCACAGGTTTTAGAAAAGCATGGGTTTAGTACTTACCTTTTTTTTATCTAAAAGTAAAAGATCTAATTCCACTGGACTAAATTTCAACTTCACAGAGGTTTGTGACAACTGAAGTTATTATAAGTACACAGAAGTATAAGTGACAGCTATGATTTTACGTGGAAGAAAAAAAACATAGCCATTGACCCATTTCTGTAATTGGTACAGAGAGGAATCCTATAAGGGACTGAAAAGGAGACTTGACAAAAATGAATAATCTAATGCATGAATCTGCTCTCATGTCAGTTACATTAGAAAGGCCAATGGGCATGTTTCCTGAAAAGGCTCCCAGAGAACAGGACAGGAGGAATTTCCCTGGGTGTATTCATGAAACTCACCCACCTGTTTCATGGGAGATGTGCTCAGGTGTGATAGCCTGCTACTCCTCTTGCATAGTGAGGTCCTGACAGTTGTGGAAAGCCCTGAGTGATATTCCCAACACCACCACTCAGTAACTCCCACCTAATTGGCATACATATTCACAAAAACTGTCACCTGAAACTGACAACCAAGTGAATACAAATTCATAACATGCCAGCAACCCGCCTCTCTTCAGATTATGTTTTAATGATTGGTCATGACACTTGCCAATCTCTTAACAGCTAAGCAGCGAAGTTCAGGCTGTGGGGGAGAGCAAACAATGGTCCCCTATAAGTGTCTGAGAAGGGCAAAGTGTAAGAAGTTTGGCGAAAGCCTTGTGACCTCAGTAGTATGGAACATTGTCATGTCTGCCTATAGGTTATATGTATATTTACATATATGTAAACTATATCATTGGTATCCCATACATATAGAAACAAAAGAAGAGAAGTAAAAGTGGGTATGTATTTTCATTTATTTGGATTCTCTGCAAACAATACATAAAACATTTATACCATGACCTTATATCAGAAATTTGTTTTCAAGGTTACAATATTTTGGCCCCATAAAATTCCTATCACATTATTTTCTTCAGAGTAAATCGAGCATTGAAGTTATGTAGATAATTCTTACCTCTTCTGTGAGTTTCTGCCATTGATCTTGGCTATGTTTCATATTATGTCTACCTTGATATTTTTATTGATATAGTTTAGACAGCATGATGGTGTAAAATACTTAACATCATACGGGTACCCAGTATCTGAGTACATTTCTCATACTAGAGGTCCTGTTACATTTATAATTTATTTTAAAATCCTTCCTCACATGCTTATGTCTCACCAAAGTGAAACATGTACATTATGAAACAATTTAGTGCAGAAAATATATCTACTACACAGTTCACCTCATGCTAGGAAGAACTTTTTCCTCCCATGTCTTGGTAACACTGTTATGTCTTAATAAATAGCAGGTTTTTACAGACATAGCACAACAGTGAAATGTTAACTAATTTATCACTGATTAATTAATTAATGTTATTGATGGTTACATGAAATAAATTGTTGGCTGAAAAAAGATTGAATCAATTGCTATATCCATAAAACAATAAGAATGTTATAAACTCTCAAGGTGGTTTGATGGAGCAGGAATTATTGCCACTAGAACAATCATCTTGCTTGCTTAAGGAATATAGCAAGTTGATGCTTTTGGTCAAGGAATTACACGAGTTAGTCAAATATTTTTTTTTAGCCAAGGCATTTTATGTCAGAGAACAAAATGGGAAACGGCACAATACCGGAAATTAAATGGAAGTCTAGGTGACCATTTAGAGGACGCAACAGGTGTTTTCACTTTCCAATCTCTCTGAATGGCCACTTTCTACCTACATACCTTTTTGAAGAAAAATTCTTCTTCGTTTGAAATCATTAAAGAGTCGCAGACAAGTTCTAAAAGGTCTTATTAATAAAAACAAGCCCAGAGCCAGGTATTGGGGTGAACGCTGAATGATCAAAGAAGCAGAACAAGCCACAGCTAACCTGGCCTCTCCCAACTTCTCAGCTGATCCTGTTTCCTCAAACCGAAAGCCTCTGAGTCCTCCTCCGAATGGATCTCAGCTGAAATGCTGCTAAAACCTAAAAGCTTAAAAAAGACTCTAGTTCCTGGTCCTCACTCCTTACATACCTTTCTGCTTTCTGCCATCACTCCCCGAGATCAAAGGTGTGTGTCACCATGCCTGGCAGTTTCCAGTGTGGCTTTGAACTCACAGAGATCTGGATAGATCTCTGCCTCCAGAAGGCTAAGATTAAAGGTGTGTGTGCCGCCATTTTCTGGCCTCTATGTCTATTTTCTAGTGGTTGTTCTGTTCTCTGACCCAAGATAAGTTTATTAGGGTGCACAATATATTGGGGGATACAATATCACCACAAAGAGGTGATATCTCATTAGCCATGTGCTTTCCTAACAATCACAAAGAGGACCTGAGGTCAGTCACCAGAACCCACATGAAATGCTGGCATGCACCTTTAATTCCACTGCTGTGGAGGCAAAGGCAGATCCCTGAACTGTGGCCAGTCAATCTAGTCTATTTGCTAAGCTTCAGGTTGATAAGAGATCCTGTCATCAATACCAAAGTAGATAGTGCCTGAGGAATGACACCATAGGTTTTTCCTCTGGCCAGCATGTGTACTTTCATTCATATATACATCTGCACACAGACACTTATGTGTATGCCACTCCCCCAAACAAACATCAAGAATGAAAAATAATATACTGAAGCCACTTGAGGAAGTGGTCTTGAATGAAACAAGTTACTGTTACTCATGCTCCATTCTATTCACAACCTTTGTGACTTCAATCCTTTATTTATAATCATATGTAAATATGCTCTTGTGAAAGAAAGAACAAAATCAAACCAAGAGACAAAACAGATACATCAAGATTATTTCCATACTTGACTAATGAACGTTGGTTAAACAAAGAATCTGGAACTATATGGCAGCAGAGGTAGAGTATCACTCCTGCTCAGTCTCAATGCATTTGCCGACAGCTCTGGTCTAAATGTGCTAACACCAGTGGCCACCTACGGATAGAATTACTGATAAGGATACTGAAATTTGAACACAACAGTGGCCCATGCTAAATGAATTTTTAAAGTCTTATATTGCTGGCTTAATGTAGAAGAAATAATTGAAAAAACATAAGGAACTCAAATACTGTAATGAATTTTTTCTGTATTACTCATACACAAAACCCCAACATGTTTTACAAGAGACCTAAAAAAAAAAACCCCTCTTATTAACAAGAATGCACTAATGAGAAGCATACCAGTGATTGATGGTTGAAAGTGATTTTGCAGCTGTTTTCTATAAACCAAAGATGTCACTGGGTGACATGTCAGTAGAAATGGGCTTCTTAATTCCAAGATCTTGGAGATGGTAGACATTAAGTGGCTTACAAAAATCAGTGGTAGTTATATGGCTACCATTATAGACAGAGAGTTGGAAAGTTGATGTGAAGAATTTATATCTTCTGATATCACTGACAACATGAATTGATTGGAAGTCTCTAATTGAAGTAGAAATAGATTCTACTTGACTGGTATAACCAAAATAATTCTAAGTCCATTGATGAGAGGATAGACTTGAAACATAGTAATATGCACTATCCAATGACAAGTTTGCTCTACAAAAACCACAGAGTGAAGAAGAGATGAGATCACAATCGTGGATCAAAGTGTTAGTCCTCTTCCTGTTTCTCTTAAGAGCTCTGTGACAATTAAAATGTAAACTGAGAAATTAAAAAGAAAATTGTAGAATATTTAGAAGTTATTAACAATGGATCAGAATGAACAACAATACAATATTTGGGTGTCTGTATCTACTGCAATGTTTACATAGAGTGAAAAATAATGGTGTTGGGGTCAGGATATTAATCAAATTTTGACAGAAAGTAATTTCCACCATAAAGAGAGAAATCCCCAAACATCTTGTTATTTCCCAATGTCTTGTTTATGTACTTACAACTGGTTTCTAATATTGTAATTCTCAGTGTCTCTCTGATCTTTGCAGTTAGAAATACATCCTAGATGGGAATGAACAACCACATAAGGTTACTTAAAAAACTTAAACTATTTATCTCACTCAGAAAAGATATGGATACCATAGTCATTGCAGCACTATACATAATAGCTTATATATGGAAGAAACCTAAGTGCCTACTAAGACGATTGATAAAGAACATTTGGCATATATCTGCAATGGAGTACTATTCGACCAAAAGGAATGAAATCAAATCTACAGGAAGAGAGATGAAACTGAGGACATTATGGTTGGCAAAATCCAAACACAGAAAGGTAAGTATTGTGTGTTTTCTGTTGTGTGCAGAAATGAAAAAGCAAAATAATCAGTTATGACAGAAAGTATTGTATCTAAGAGAGCTGCAAAGAACTAAAAAACGAGCAATAAAGAGAAGAAAAATATGGACAGCAAAAGCACATGGTATATAAATATATGTGCATATATGTATACAACAATCACAACAAATCCTCAATTTTTTCAACACGTGTTAATACATTACAATAAATATATAAAAGGTGGAAAGGCTCAATATAAACATGTACATCTTCCCAAAATATAAAGCTAAGGTTAAAGCACATTGCTGAAGGAATTCTACAGACTAGCCCCATCATCAAGTATGTAGAATAGAGAACTTAACATATTCTTGTTCCTCTTTAGTGTTGGCTTAGGGTGAAGAAGGTACTTAAACAATGACACTGATTCAAACCACTAACTGTTGATTCTATTTGCAACTGCTTTCCTACGCATAACTCCTTTATTGTGGCTTTATTTCCTTTGTGGCAGGGACTGCTGGAGTCTACAAACAATTTACTGCCTGAGGAAGAAAAGGATTAAGGTTTGACTTACAGAAGTCACGACACAATATTGTGGCAGTAATTGTGAGTAGATGACCATGGCTCTGCATGGACATAGAATATGGGAGTTGAAAGAAAGGAATGTCTCACTGACTCAGGTGAAAAGAGGAAGGCTGTAAAGATCCACCCT